CAATTTGATGGCAACTGAAAACAACAACAACAAAATAACTGTTCGGGTGACTGTGAGAAGCAAAGATGATGCATGGAAGGTATTTTGCCCTTCTAGGTACAAGGTAACTATTAAATGTTCCCCAAAAAAAACTGACCTAGAGGAGGAAAGAGGGGGTCTTGAGCTAAGGTGGAATCACAGGGATAGAGAGGAGGGGACAGATATGAGACAAGCTTAGAAAGTAAATGCCACAGGGCTGAGGAAAGTTGGTCATTAGAAGATTAGAACAACTTTGAGATTTCTGGTTTGAGACAGACTAGATGGCAGTGTCATTTACTGAAACCAGGAATACAGGGGAAAAGCAGTTCTTGTCATAGGAAAGATGGTGGAGGTAGGGATGAGAGATTTAGTTTTAAATATGATGACTTCAAAGTGCCTGTGGGTTATTCACTCTATGAAGGAGTTGAACGTGAATATCTGGAGTTCAAAGAAAGTACCAGCTAAAAATACAGATGTGTGTCCTACTTTGGTGAGTAGTGACTGGGGTCTTAACACTTGCAAGCAGCCATCTAGATGCAACAATAGGTCTCTCATATGGAGCAAAGAAGAATAAAGAAAACCAAAGATGCATGGAAACAATTATTCCAAGACACTAGTGGACCATTTGAACTTCAGCCTATATGACCATAAGACCAGAACTAAATAGTGCCCGGCCAACACTGTTAACCACTCAGAAAGGGATGAGTACAAGAGATCCCGGATAGATAGAGCGGGAGAACAACGTGGAACAAAACTCAAAATCATAAAAAATACCAGACTTACTGGTCTGATAGAGCCTGGCCCCTAATTACCCTGCAAGCCTGGAATTGAACTCACTCCCGTGGCTTCCAGCCAAACAATAGACAGGTATATAGGGTGAATATTTACACCAGGTAGATATACTCCTTAGAACAATCAATCATGGGAGAACAGAAGGCAGTATTTGCACAGAGAGATAGCTCAGGGAGCCAGAAATGCATAGGGAAGAAGACAAAGGGAAGAGGTATCTACAGGGAGGAAGTGGGAAGAGAGCTATTACAATGTGGGGAATTGCAGTCAATGACATGAAACAAAATGTGTATGAATTATTGTATGGAAAATGAATTTGCTCTGTAAACTTTCACCCAAATTACAATAAAAATTAAAAATAAATACAGATTTGCAACAAGTATACAGAGGGGAGAGTTGAAGGCAGAAGTGTGGATGAAGTTGCTTGGAAAGAGTATTTGGAGTGTAAAGAGAATAGGATCTAGACCAAATCAAGAACACCAGTTACTAAGGTACTAAAAGAAACAAGATAGTGAAGAAATAATAACAGAGATAGGAGGAGAACAGGAGGAAGCCAGCACGTCATCTTCTGAGGGAAGAGAGTTTCAAAAGAAGGCAACAGTTAGCAGGGTCCCCTGATACAAAGAAAGATCCAAGAAAATGAAGACCAAAAAGAGCCTATAGAATTGGACAAGCAGGAAGTCATGGGTAACTTTTACTTAAAATGAAGTGATAGATTAATGTGGACAATGTAAAAACAGTTTATGGAAGATGAGGAATGAAACACCACAAGAGATTCTTCTTTCAAGAGGCAGAGAGAGAGGTTGATGGCAAACTCGAGCCAGGCTTTTTTTGGTTGCAAGAACAGAACTAATCTAGTTAAAATGGGAGGCAGCCAGAGTTCCAAAAGATCTGGGAAGGATGAAGCCCAGTGTGAAGCTGAAGAGACTATTAGGATCAAGTAAGAAGGGGAATGTCCAACAGTTGCTGCCCCACACTCAGGTCATCTTCCTCTCCCGTGTAACTGCAACAGCCACTAGCCATCTTTCAACCTTCATTCCTCCACCCAAGCCATTCCCCACACTTTCTGATCTTTCTTTCTCAAACGCACACCTAACTACGACACTCCCCAATATAAAATCCTTTCCTTCATTCATTCAACAAATATTGAGTGATTCTAAGAGCCAGACACTGGTTTTGGTGCTAGAAACATAGCATACAACGTTGCTGCTGCTTTCTGCACAACCTAGAACAGTACTTTACATTCTAGTGGGCAGAGAGAGACAAGAAGCCAATAAATAAGTAAAACATAAAACATCAGTTTACTATAAAGAAAAATAAAGCCAAGAAGAGAACGAGTGCTGAGATGAGAGTGGGTGTAAGATTGCCATGGCTTTCCCAATAGAATAAAGTCACCCTCTTGTCAAGATGTTACCAGAGCCATCAATGGAAATGCTAATGCCAAGCAGGATGGTGAAAAAAGGAAGGACCTTTATTTCTGTGTACTAGCACAGACTCAGTGGATTTACATCCAGGGACTGAGCCCCGAACAAAGGCCACATGGGGCTTTTATGGCATTCTTCTTCCAGGGTATTTGGGGTAAAGGGGTTATTGGTTATCTGCGAAAAGAGCACCTGTAGCTAGCAGTTTTTACAGAAGTTAAATGTGCCCCAGCAGAAGAGAGGAGGGGAGAGTATGGGCAGAGGACGAAGGGAACGGGAGCAGGGCAGAGAAATTTTCCACTCTCTATACATGGTTTTTCAAGCCAGCTTGAGCCAGATGTCTCTGGCCTCACAACAAGTTTCACTGCGCAACAGAACTTCCCTACTTTAGGTTTGGCAAAGGTTATAATTCATTGTTAATGTTTCCTTCATTTCCCTCTCATGCCGCAAAGACACAAAAGTTCTCCAGGATTGGTGTCTGGCACCATTTACTCTAATGCCCTTCCACTACCCCTTGACTCCTTGGCTCCTGTGGCCCAGCCTCACTGAGCAGATTATGTTCCCAAACTTTGCAGGGTCTCTCTCCTGGGCCTTTCCATGGGGTCCCTTCTCAGTGTCTAAAATGTCCTTTCCCTTTCTCAGACTGATGTCCGCTATTCCTTCAAGACCAAGCTCAACAGCTCTCTTTCCTGCTCTCTCCTCCTGCTCCACATGGATCAGGAATCCCATTCTCCTATCTTGGGTCCATAGTAGCATATGCTCACCTCACCAAAGGCTTCATCACCAGAAAACCAGGAAAAAAAAAAAAAAAAAAACCTAAACCCATTGCTGTCAAGTTGATCCTGACTCATGGCCATCTCGTGTGTTACAAGGTAGACCTTCTCCATAAAGCTCTCTTGGCTGATAAGAAATCTACGAATGTAACATATTGAGTTTTGAATCTGTAAGAAGTAATTCTTTAACTTTATCTTTGACTTATTTAGAAGGAAATAATAAGATTTTTTAATAAAAACTGAAAAGGGGAAAAAAATAAGTTCTCTTGGCTGTAATTTTTTTTCCCCACTTTTTAATTGCAATTTGAGTGAAGTTTTACAGAGCAAATCAGTTTTCCATTCAATAATCCATACACAATTCATACACATTTTATTTCATGAATATAGTTCCCACAATGTAACATCACTCATCCAACTTCCTCCCTATGTTTCCCATTTCTTGTCCTCCTTTCCTAACTTTTCCTGCTTTCTATACTTTGTGCTTGAGCCAAATGTTGCCCTTTCATCTAGAATGGTTGATTGTTGTAAGGAGTGTGTATCTCTCTGGTATTAATGTTCACCTTATAGGCCTGTCTATTGTTTGGCTGAAAACTAAGCCATGGGGGTGAGTTCAGTTCCAGGCCTGAAGAGTGACTAAGGACCATAGTCTCAGGTGTTCCACCAATCTATCAGACCAGTAAGCTTGGTATTTTATTACTGTTGTTATTATTTTGAGTTTTGTTTGACACTTTCCTCCCACTCTACCCAGGGCCTTCTAATGTGATCCCATTCAGAACAGCAGCCAGGCACAACTTAGTTCTTCTGGCTTCAGTGTCGTGGGGGCTGAGGTTGCATGGTCATCAGTCCTTTGGGCTAATTGGTTCCATGTTTCTTTGATTTTCTTCACTCTTCTTTGCTCTGGACTGGAAGAGACCAATAGTTGCACCTTAGATGGCCACTCATAAGCTTTTAAGACTCCAGTCACTACTCATCAAAATAGGATGTAGAACATTGTATTTGTAGACTATGTTGTGCTGATTGACCTTGACGTCCCCCAAGACTATGGTCCTGAGCCCCCAGGTCCAGCAACTCATTCCCTTAAGGTGTTTGGTTATGGCTAAGAAGTTTTCATAACTTTATCTATTGCCCTACTATACTCATGGATATATTTGCAGCATATGTAAATATATATACAGAAAGATTCTCTATCAAATCTATATATATTTGTGGATATAGTCCCATTCTCCTTCCCACACCTGTTCAGCTTGTGTGTCTATATATGTATCCATTAGTAGATTGGTGTGATTATGGTTATTACAGGATTGTGTATGTGAGAGTATTCACCTCTATTGCCTTTAATTCTTGTGCTCCTTCCTTGAATCTTCCTTTGCCTTGATCATTTTGTGCTGACCTACTCTTACCATATATTACCTTTCCCTTCAACCAAGTTAATATGTGTCTACCCTCTAGCTAGTGATTTATCCTCCTTTCCTCTCCCACCCTTAAAATCCAAACCAAACTCACCACTGTCGAGTCGTTCCCAATTCATAGCAACCCTTCCTTGAGTTTCTGAGGCATTATCACTATGGAAGTAGATTGCCCAACCTTCCTTCCAAGGAGTGGCTAGTGAGTTTAAATCTCTGGCCTTCTGGTTAGCAGTCAAGTGCCTTAGGCACTACGCTTCCAGAGCTCCCCTCCCACCCCACTACCCATCAAAGAATGTTTCTTTTTGTGTGAAAACCTTTCCTTGACTTTTTATAATACTGGTCTCATTTGTCCTTTTGTGGTTGACTAATTTCACTCCACATAAACACAAGGAGGGGTCCTTATGAGTGGGATCGCTCTCGACAGCAGAAAGAATAGGTTCATCTGTATTATAAGGTGTTTCACGGATTCATTGCTATTCTTTAACTTTGCAAGGTATTACATTGTGAGTATGTACCATAATTTGTTTATCCATTCATCTATTGATGAGCATTTAGTTTCCTTCCATCATTTTCCTATTGGGAATAGTGCTACGATGAATATGGGTATACATATATCTATTCACACTATGGTTCTTATTTCTGTAGGATACAGACCTAGTAGTGGGATTGCTGGATCAGATGGTCTTTCTATTTCCAACATTTTAAGGAAATGCCATATTGTTTTCCACAGTGGTTGTAACATTTTACAATTCCACTGACAGTGTAAGAGGGTTCCAGTCTCTTCACACCCTTCTCAGTATTGGTTGTTTTCTCTTTTTTTGAACTTTGCTATTATTTCTGGGATGATATGATATCTCATTGCTGTTTTGATTTGCAGCTCTCTAATGGCTAATGATTACAAGCATTTCTTCGTGTGTTTGTTGTCTGCCTGAATGTCTTCTTTGCTAAAGTGACAGATAGTGTCACTTTGTGCATTTTTAAATTGGATTGTCTTTTTGTTGTTGAGGTATTGAAGTTCTTGGTTGTAATCTTACTGGAAGCAGATTGCCAGGCCTTTCTTCCATGGTACCACTGGGTGGCTTCGAACCACCAACTTTTAGGTTAGCAGTTGATCAGTGCCACCTAATGAGGTATAATTGTTAATTTGCCCTCTTTACCCCCAACTCAACCAGAAGCAGAACTCTGCCTGTGCAGTCCTGTATCTCTGGGACTTAGCACGTGGTCAATGCTTACTAGATGTTTTTGTAAATGTAAAATTCAGGAGGGAAGCTTCTGAAAGAAAGAAAAATGAATGTGGAAAACTAACAATGTATTTTGATTATACAAGTTATTTATGTTGGTTGTACACATTTTGGAACAGAATACCTTGTAATGTCCAAACTTAACATTTTTCTGTGTAGTCTTTTGATAAATTATATTTATAATATGTTCATACATACACTTCTTGTTTGCAAAAAGCAATCATATAATACATATTGTTTTACCATCATTTTTTTGCTTAATATCATATTTTCTTAAGCATGGTAGTGGCATTGGATATCATTATTTGCTGGTTCTAATTATTTATGAAAATAGCTATCCTCAGGGTATATTTCTAGTAGCAGGATTGCTAAATCAAATGGTATTTCTATTTCTAACTTTTTAAGGAGTAGCCATAACGTTTTCCACAGTGATTGTATCATTTTACAGTCCCACCAGCAGTGTATGAGAGTCCCAATCTCTCCACACCCTGACCAGCTTTTGTTGTTTTCTGTCTTGTTGAACTTTACTATTATTGATGGGATGAGATGATATCTCATTGTTGTTTTGATTTGTATCTCTCTAATGGCTAATAATCACAAGTATTTCTTCATGTGTTTGTTGGCTGTCTGAATATCTTCTTTGGTGAAGTGTCTGTTCATGTCCTTTGCCCCTTTTTCAATTGGATTGTTTGTCTTTTTGATGTTGATGTGTTGAAGTTTTCTATAAATTTTAGCTATAAATCCCCTGTTGGGTACATTGTTGCCAAATACTTTTTGTTAAATCTGTAGGATCTCTTTTTACTCTTTTGGAGAAGTCTTTTGATGTTGTTGTTGTTGTTTGGTGCCATTGAGTCGTCTCCGACCCATAGCAACCCCATGCACAGCAGAACAAAACACTGCCCAGTCCTGCACCAACCCCACAATCTTTGCCATACATAAGCCCATTGTTTCAGCCACTGTGTCAATCCATCTCATTGAGGGCCTTCCCCTTTTTCATTGTTCCTCCACTTTGCCAAGCATCTCATCCTTCCCCAGGAAATGGTCCCTTCTGACAACATGACCAAAGTAGGTGAGATGAAGTTTAGCCATTCTCACTTCCAAGGAGCATTCCAACTGCACTTCTTGCAGGACATATTTGTTAGTTCTTTTAGCAGTCCATGGTACTTTCAGCATTCTTCGCCAGCACCACAACTCAAAAGCATTGGTTCTTCTTTGGTCTTCCTTTCTCATTGTCCCGCTCTCACATGGATATGAGGTGACTGAAAATACCATGGCTTGTGTCAAGCGCACCTTAGTCTGCAAGGAAGCATCCTTGCTCTTCAGCACTTGAAAGAGGTCCTTTGCAGCAGATTTGCCCAATGCTATACGATGCCTGATATCTTGACTGCAGCTTGCATTGGTGTTGATTGTAGAACCAAGTAATATGAAGTCTTTGACAACTTTGATTGTTTTCTCCATTTATCATGATGCGGCTTATTGGTCCCATTGTGAGGATTTTTGTTTTCTTTATATTGAGGTATGGTCCATACTGCAGACTGTAGTCTTCAATCTTCATCAATAAGTGTTTCAAGTCATCCTTACTTTCAGTGAGCAAAGTTGTGTTGTCTGCATAATGTAGATTGTTAATGAGTCTTCCTCTAATCCTGATGCCACATTCTCCTTCATATAGTCCAGTTTCTCAGATTATTTGTTCAGCATACAGATTGAATAAGTATGGTGAAAAGATACAACCCTGATGCACTCCTTTCTTGACTTTAAACCATGCAGTGTCCCCTTGTTCTGTGTGAATGACAGCCTCCTGGTCTATGTACAAGTTCCTCATGAGCACAATACAGTGTTCTGGAATTCCCATTCTTCTCA